GTGCATACATGAGTCACTGGCTACAGGCCTGCTCGCGATCGAGCGATGTAGGTTGATCGGGAATCTGAAGGTCTGGTGTCTCCAGTTTATGTTGATTCCAAAGCTCCTCTGGCCGCTGGTCGTGTACGAAGATAGCATGGCGGCAGTGAAAACAGTGGAGAGGAAAATCAAACAGACATGAGGAAATGGCTTGGGCACCGCCTTGTCTGGCCAATCAGAGTCTGTTTCGTAAACAGTCTAGGCTGGTACTTGCGTTCAAGTCAATAACCGAAGAGTTTAAAGTTGGCAAGCTAAGACTCGCGTTGATGCTTCGCGAGTCTTTGGACCCCACAGTAGCAGCTGTCAAACCCGCTCTAAAAACATGCAACAAATAGAAGGTCCTAGATGCGATAGAATCTGCCCAAGATGCACTAAAATTGAAAGAAGTCATGGGGTACACACAAACCGACTGACGTAGCCTAAGGCACGGTAAAGTAAGTTGGTGGTCCAAAGCCACAGCCAAAAAGCGCAGAGACATGGTAATACAACAGATAAGGGATGCTGAAATGATACTCAGTAGATCGGCCTCGCGAGCGCCTTGCCACGAATACTCATTTGGGGTGAGATCTGGTAAATGTCCCTGCTGCGGCTAAGCTTTGTCTTAAGATCAGCGTACGACGTGTTACCGTCTGACGTCAACATGGTAAAGTGACATGCGACTACCGACTCGACATGCCCACTGTGCAGAGCTAAGCAGACGTTCGACTGGTATTGTCTGCGTGCAGAAAAGCTCTAGGCCAGGGAAGATACACTTAACGCCAGAATAAGCTCCTGAAAGAGTTAACGGACATTGTGGACCAGGCCAGAATGAGGGCCAACGCGAGCACCAGTCCTACCGTTATCCCCATGCGAAGCTAAGTAAAATCAACAGACGTTCGACTGGACATGCGGCTGTCACGACCTGCGTGGTTTCGAGAGGTACCCAGAGTAAATCCTGAAAACCGACCTGAGACCTGACATAGTTCTACACTGTGCGGAGAAACGCCAGCTCATCCTGATTGAGCTGACCGTGCCGTACGAGTCGCGGATCGGAGAAAATCACACGTACAAGCTCGAGATGTACTTTGAGCTGGTGGCCGGTCTGAGTAGAGATGAAGCACACGCAGTAAAAATCTTCGCCGTCGAGGTAGGCGCAAGAGTTCTTATCTCCGCTTCCATGTACAATGTGCTAAAGAAGCTGGGCTTGCGAGGAAACGAGCGTCAACGGTCACTAATACAACTGGGCGAAGCTGGTGAAAGAGCTTCGAGCTGGCTATGGACGCAACGGAACGTCGTGGGGGATGGGCTTCGGCAGACTGGTCAGAGTCCCTAGTGAAAGAGAACGTCTTATCCCTTAAAAACCAATGTGTCTGAAATGTCTGCCAATGTCCCTCTGTCGACTGCCAGAGTCTAAATGTCAAAGTCTAACACCTGTCCGATTAACCAACCGAAAGCTTGTCACCATGGTCGTAAGGCAGTCGGCTGATCTAATTTTCTATCCCAGCGGCTATATCAAACATTCTCACAACACTTGTTTCAAATCACCACACCGTCTTGTTCCTGTGTGCAGCAGGGGAAGATCGAGGCCTGGGAGTCATGACCGAGGTCGGCCCACCTTCCAAAATTGTATGAGAATGGTAACGGGCTGAAACAATCGTCGACGAGGGATCTTTCTACTGATAATCGGTGGGCCCCTGCTGTACATGCTCCCCTGTGAAGTTCTTCTTACTTATTGACACAGGCTTCTTAAACCCAGTTTGAGGTAGGTACCTGCCCAGCTCTAAATGGGTACCAGGTAAAAGATCATGGGAAGTGAAGGCGACCGGTGTGATGTTGACCACATCACCCATCTAGTGCCATTTGCACTATATGCTATGTACACCTGAAGGCGTCGAAAAAAGTTTTTTACCATATGCCTGATACACCAGTTGTCTGTAAAGCCTGCTTGGTACTTCAATTTTAATTCACCCGAAACAAAGAAAATATGGGAGTTTTCGGGAGCGTCCAGTATTCTAGGTTTGTTAGGGTTGGGATTAGGGTTAGTCGGTGTCTCTGGGGTGGTTGGGGCTGATAAAGTTCAGTTTCATGTTCGTGCTAGGGCAAACAGGCCTTCTTTTCGTAGTGTCCCACGAAATTCATTTCAAATCATAACACCCCCCCCCCCCTCTCCCCGCTCGAACATTGGACTTTCCCTGAAGCTTCCAGGTTTCCTTGGTTTGAGGTGAATAAAAATTAAAGTACCAGGTCTTTAACTAACTAACTAACTAACTAACTAACTAACTAACTAACTAACTAACTAACTAACTAACGTCATTTGTCTGAATGTTCGGATATATTTATGCTAATTTTACCCTCAATGAAGAGAAAATTGGGCAGCGAAATATGCGAAAGACCTTTGGACTGTTTCAGGATGATATGTGTATTCCAATTCTGAACGAGGGGGATGCGAGGTCTCGAGGCTTGGTGTCCGCCTCGAGTGAAAGAGGTTCCGGGTTCAATACCCGGTAAGGGCTGGGATTTTTTTTTCACGTGGACTTGGACTTGGGGTGCCGGGTTCGATCCCAAATGCAGGCCGTGCGCCTTGCTTTGATTTCGACAGTGGTATCGAGAAGCCGACCGCCCAAAAAGCAATGGCAAACTCATCATCATCATGTAGCAGGTCCTTTGCAGAACGTCGCTCTCATCACAGTCTGCCTGTAAGAAACTCGGTCTCTTGCCAGTTCTCCCGCCTTATGAACTTTCACACTCAACGAGTCACTTATATCCTGTGCCCATCTTCGTGTCGGTCGGCCTCTGTCCCTCCTTCCTGGAACCAAGCCTTCTGCTATAATTTTTTCCAATCCGTCGTGGCGCTTGATATGACCAAAATATTTCAGCTTTCGAGAAAAGATGCTGTTTATTAGCCAATCTTCCTTGATGTTCAGATCTTTTAAGATGTCAATATTTCTCATCTTCTTTGCCCAAGATATTCTGAGAATCTTTCTATAGCATTTTAGCTCAAGAGCCCCTATTCTCTTTCTTAAAGACTGAGAGATAGTCCACGACTAACATCCGTGTGTAGCCACAGGAAAGATGCATGCTCTCAAAATTCTAATTTTTATCTCCTTGCTGATGTTTAACCATAGACTTTTAAGGCTGTTCAATCTTTGCATTGCTTTGGCCATTTTCCTTTTAATTTATGTCGAACAGTCTCCATGTTGCAAACTACTGGACGAAATTTGCCTAGAAAAACCACAACAGCTAAAAATGGCTGGAGCTGGCTCTACAATGGCATGTAAAGGATACGCAACTATTATTGGAGGTTGCAAACGCAATTCTTAAAATTACCCGGGTAATTTTAGGACAATTGTTATATAAATATACAAAAGGGGCCTTTTTACGTCTTAGTCTCATTGAGCATATGAGTTATGAGTTAGATTATCTTTACAGCACTCTGGACACATCCATAGGCGCTCAGATTCCCCTCTCAACATATTCATCAGCCTCGTGCGGTTAATAGTATCAGTCCTATGTTGGTTAACAAGACTTCCTGTGCGTCCAGTGTGCTTTTCGTGCTTGGCTGTGCCGATCTTTACTCCCAATTCACGTATTCTTAGAAGTGATGTGGAAACAGAACCTTATATCTCCCTCGACACCCACAGCGGTAAAAGAGGAAGTGAAGAAGAAGAAGAAGAAGAAGAAGAAGAAGAAGAAGAAGAAGAAGAAGAAGAAGAAGAAGAAGAAGAAGAAGAAGAAGATGTGGACACGTTGCTTACAAAATCCTCAGAACGTCCTATCTCTCTAAGGACAATATAGTGTTAGCAGGGCCATGCCGTGCTATGATATAGAGACGTGGCCGCAACGGGCGGCACAGTAAAGGGGGAGGCATAAACAGCGATGCAGATTTCAACTAACTGGCATGCAAGCGCCCAGCTTCCAGGAGACCCCGCTAAGTAAAAGTAAAGTAAAGGACCCTTTTCCCCGTCTTTATGCGCATAGGGCATATATGGCTTGACCTATACTTTTTATAGACCGATCGGCACAAGATGAATGATACGGTCAGCATCACGCCGGTCACTTTTACTTCCCAGGACTGCACCCGGTACCCACTCGAGGCTGGATCGACCTGGGAGCCAAGGTCATTTTTGAAAAGAGTTTGGCTCCGCTAGGCGCTTGTAACGCCTAAGCCACCTCCAATAACGGGGATTTATTACATAATATTTTCCTAATTATGTAAAATGCTATTCTTTTTTGTCCTTTTGTTTCTTCATCACTTCTATACATCTTCCATCTGATGTTGTCGAATGCAAATTTACTGGAATCTCCGTATTTGCTGCAAATTCAGACAAGTCTGAATATGTTAGTTGTTTCCCTTTGCAGTACGCTTTAGACCCGACGCCCATCATTTGTGACTGGTGACTTTTCTAGGCACATTTAACTTCAGTAGTTTGCCATTGCCTCCTCCACGGTCACTCTCAGTACCACTGTCGAAACCAACGCAAGAAGGTATGATGCCAAATTTTCTCAAGCCGACTCTGAATATGTACAAGAGGAGAAATGATGAAGAAGGAGGGGGGGAAGAAAACGGAAAAGGCATGGGTCTAAGGAAAGATCACATGAAAGCAGAAGTCATAAGCAGAAGAAGGTAGAAAGAGCGGAAAGCAGGCGAAGCAGGAAAAGGGAGACGGAGAAGAAAGGAGACTGAGTGGAAGATAGGAGCCATAGAACGAGCAGCCGACGCAGAATCACCGAATACGAAGAATGCCAGTTGAAGGAGCTCTCTACGTCCGTGGTGCTTTCTTCATCAACCTCTCCCCCTGTATAAAAAAAAAAAAAAATTAAACTGCAGTAATTATTGCCTGACTGCAAACTAGCTTGATTGTCATGTTACCCAAGATTGTTATGTTACACAAGATTGTTATGTTACACAAGATTGTTATGTTACACAAGATTGTTATGTTACACAATGTGTTACTAACTCTGGTGGGTTTCCTTGTCCACAGGAAGGACCAATGGCTCACTCAGGAGGGATCATCGCTGCTGGGCTCGGCAAGGGAAGGATTCCTTGGTTTAAAGGGGACATCAGTGTAAGATCTATGTGTTTGTGTGTGTGGGTGTGTGTGTGTGTGCATATGTATGTCAGTGTAAGTAAAAGTGGGTATATGTACGAGTGTACACGTGTACATGCAAGTATGCATGAGTGTATGTATGAGAAACCGCTAAATAGTTCACATATCCGTTGCCTAAAAAGAATCTTAGCTTTAAGCGGTAAGTCAAGACCACAAACACTGAGGTATTGAAAAGAGGAGGTTTCAAAACAATTTTCTTAGTGCTCAGTCTGCAAAGGATGAAGTGGCTAGGTGATACGTGAAGAATTTAGGACGGTAGAGTTTATGGTGAATTACAAATGGTAGATCAAAAGTTCAAATTGTGTTTCGATTTGCTGCTTCTGCCAGACCCCCCTCCCCTCCTCCCACCACCACCACCACCACACTTTTGTTTTTCTCACTTTTATGGTGCTTTTTTATGCCAAGAGTGTTAAGCACACATGGATATCAAGAGTGTTAAGCACGTAGCATCACGGCGCATACAGGCACAGTGAGGTCATAATAATAGTTAAAAGATGGCTGCTCCAGTTTTGACATGCACCACAGAGAAGCTAGGTTCTGTTGTCCGTGTTTTGAACTGTGAAGTGGTGAAACCTGTAGAAATTTCTCGACAAATTAAGGACCAGTAATGCATACCTGTCGGCTCTGTGGCTAAGTCGATGCGAACGCTTCGCTTCGTAATGCCGGGATGCCAGCTTCGATCCCAGCTGCTGGCAATGCGCCTTGCGTTGGTTTCGACAGTGGTATGAAGAAAGCCGACCGTCCAGTAGCAACGGCAAACTACTGGATGTAAATTGCCTAGAGAAACCACACAACAGCCAGGGGCTGTTAGAGTTGGTTCTGCAACGTCCTGTAAAGGATACGCAACTAATTAATGCATGCCTGTCTGTCTTTACATGGCCTTGTACTGCTGCAATCATCAGCTCTGAGGTCACTAGTCGGTGTGCCTGACCAGGTCGTGAGCAGTCTGTCACAGAAGACAAGCCGTTTCGAAACGTTCTTCTCCACAATGGCTGAACTCATACCATACGGTATTATTATTTGCACACGGTTACGGGGGTGCTCCGCAGGCCGTTGATACCCGTAAATATTTCAGCACGCCAGCGCTATTAACACTCCAAAAACATGGGAAAACTGGGTCTAACATGACCACCCTAGAGAGTGCTGCAACCTATGTCACAGGCATTCTATTTCTCTAAATGAAAACGCAGAAACCAAAACAACGGAGCGGGACACACCTGTAACCTTCAGTAAAGTCGACCAGTCCACAAACTTGTTAATGAAAACTGACCTACTCTATTTGTGGAGACTAACGTCGAACTAACCAAAATGTACAAAGCTGGGAAATATCCGCCCCCCCCAGCCCCCCCCCCCCCTACCCCAGCCCCCCCCCCCCCCAATCAAGATGGCCGAGTGTCTCGTGACATTTTGGCAAGGGCTGCAATACGATGGACGGCAGATAAGGAAAGGAGACGTTGACGACCTAATGAGACCCGGACAATAGTAGTAGAATGTAACCCCACTAGGATATCACACAAGCGATAAACACCCGATGACACAAAGTGCCACTATGTGGATGAGGATCACCCGTGGAGAGGTCTCAGAAACCGAGTTCAGCCATTAGGCCATATTTATTGCCGGGGTATATTGCGGCCCCTTGCAAGAGCCATCGTGGGGCTTCAAATAACAAAAAATTGCATCTCACAAGGAGACGACTCGGTTAGACCTGGAGAAGGACAGTAGCAAGAGATGTGAAGAAACGCAAAGTGACATGGGATATCATAGTCAGAAAATCAGCAGGCCAGCAGCAATGGAGATAGATCACTGGTGAATACCTCATGTGTCAGCAGTGACCAGAAGATTATCCAGAGAGAGAGAGAGAGAGAGAGAGAGAGAGAGAGAGAGGGAGGGAGGGAGAGAGAGAGAGAGTCAATCAATCTGCCCAGTCGTCATTCTGCCCTAAAACTGCCGTCGATTCAGTACTCTGTACCTGAATATAGCCAGGCCATATATATGGCCAATCGGCTGAAATTGGTTTCTGGGATCTCTCCCCGGATGATCCTCATCCGCATGGTGGCAGTTTGTGTCACCGGGTGTTTATCTCTTGTTTGATGTCCTGGTGGGGCACAACAAGAGAGAGAGAGAGAGAGAGAGAGAGAGAGAGAGAGAGAGAGAGAGAGAGAGAGAGAGAGAGAGAGAGAGAGAGAGAGAGAGAGAGAGAGAGAGAGAGAGAGAGAGAGAGAGAGAGAGAGAGAGAGAGGGTACACAATGAAAGTGGAGAAATATCAATTATTCACAAGGTGATCTTAAACTCGTGAGCACTGCTGTATTAATAAATAACAATACCTCTCTCCAGCATGTAACATTGTTTGTCTACTTACCCCACATTGACCTTTCACATGGTATCCGTGATCCAACAGCTGTATAGTTTATTCCGTACTGACCACAACATAAGGGATCTGGTGGCAGCTGGGGCAGCATCTGGTGTGTCTGCAGCCTTTGGTGCTCCCGTAGGAGGAACTCTCTTTAGCGTCGAGGAAGCTGCCAGTTTCTGGAATACAGAACTTGTATGGAAAGTGGTACGTTTGACAGATAATTTTTAAGATAATAAATTACTGTCCTTGCATTTCATCATCAATCAGCAAGTCCTTTACAGAACGTCGCTCTCTCCACGGCACGCCTGAAGTATCCCTTTCCCTAGCCACCTCTCCAGCCCCATGTGCTTTCAATGCCAATGCATCTTCTATGTCTTGTATCCATCTTCGCTGTGGTCGACCCCTGCCTTGCCTTCCACAAACTGCACCTTTCATCACCGTCTTTTTCAAGCCACCGTGACGCTGGATGTGGCCAAAATACTTCAACTTTCGGGACAGGATGCTGTTTATGAGCCAGTACTCCATGATGTTCAACTCGTTCAGAATGTCGATGTTTTTCCTCTTCCTGATCCATGATATTCTAAGAAATTTTCTATAACATTTCAATTCAAAAGCTCCAATCTTTTTCCTCAGTGACTAAGTGAGAGTCCAAGACTCACAACCGTAAGTCTGCATGTCTGCGTTCTGGGATAGAATTACCTCCAATGTTTAGTGGATCGAAACTCTTTCATGCCTCATCGCTAATTGTGTTTCTTCCTTGCATTTAGTCAACATTAATTGTTGATTGCTAACAGGCCATACATTGAACGTCCACATCTTATCTTTGGCCCAAAGGCACTTTCCACTCTGACCACGACGTTATTGTTTCGGTGAACAGATCGGATTATTTGGCTTAATCTTCTTCGTCTGTTTTCTTCCAGTTCACCGGCTGTACCCTCCTGCGGAAAGTCCCGGTTGTTTGTCCACCTCTGGACTTTAGTTTTGTTCCGGAACCTGGGTGATGTGTGCATATACATTTAACAGATCTGACTTAATTGTATGCATATTGTTGGTTGCGTACCTCTCAGGCAGATGCACTCGGACTTCGTAGGAAGCTCCCAGTTAGTCGACTCTTACGACATGCTTGTTAGAGAGGCAGATCGTCTATTATTGTTTTCCCCCATAGTGGAGCATCGAAACCCACACGATAAATTAGGCCTAATGACTTGATTATTTTCATGATGCCTTTTGAAAATGTATTAAAAGTATGGTAGAAAAAAAAGATAATAATAAATTTCAAATACTAACTCATCCTCTTTTCTTTCAGTTCTTTTCAGCCATGATTGCCTGTTTCTCAACAAATGTCATTCTCAGTGCCTTTGAGGGACACCCAACACAGCTGTCCAACCCCGGTCTGGTTCGCTTTGACACGTTTCCCGTGAGTGCCTTGTGTTCTTCTGGTTCACATTTAGTGACAGGAGTTAGTCGAAAATCCTCTTCTTATTTTCTTTGGGGAACAAAAATTAGTTTAAAAACAGCCCCAAAAAGCCAATATACATACATATATACCTCAGGTCACGAACACCTTCTAGTCACGAACAAATCCGCTCACGAACACAATTTCCGAACAAAATGTGACTCGGCTCGCTCACAGTGCCTCGGCTCAGGAACGCACAAACATGGTTTTGGTGTCCTGTTTTCGGCTAACGTACAGATATGCTGCTGTGAACACTGTCGCTGAGTTGTTCGTGACACAGATGTGCGTGTGTGTGTTTCAATAAATTAACCCTCATTGTGGCTTCCTAGAAAATGATTAGTGATTAGTAGGGATTATCATCACAGCACTTCGGGCAGATCCATAGGTGCTCCGATTTCCTCATCAAAAGCTCAACTAGTGTAAAACGAATGATGCCGTCTGTTCTGTGTTGGTTAATGAACTTCTTACCCCCTTAGTGAAATGTTCATTGATGAGCTCCGGGCTGCACTCCCATGTCCATCAGTCTAGACAGGTATACGGAGTCATGTCCTCTGGCGTGCTCGTGGTCACGGTAAGTGCTACGCATGGCATTGATAACATCGCTTCTGTCCAGTACCTGAACACTCTAGAAAGTGAAAGGTGTTAGTGATAGTGGCGTAAACAAGCCTAAGCGTATCACAGTAGCATCGAAGAAGGAAACAATAACTAAACATAACAGTGGTGTTCTCTGGTCTCAGTGTTATGCTAAAGACGGTTGATATGGCTAAAGAAGCGACTTAGTTAACGAAGCAACGGTCTAAGATGTTAAAAGAAGTAGAACAATGATGGTAGCCACCAAGCCAGCAATCGTCGAACCACTTCCCTGGTGAAGGCTGGGATTTGTTCTGGTGGACTTCTAGTAATTTCCCCTAGTCTCTGGGTAGTAAGATCGGACGCCCGTATGTATTCTTGCGCACGTAAAACATCCCTTGGCAGTTTTAAATCGTAAAGAGTAGCATGAGGGCGCTGCCCCGGGGCTAAATTTGGAGTTAAAAATTTACGCAAAGTGTTTTAGGATTCTTGTCGGTGAGATATAGCAGTAGAATAGAGCACTTATGGGATACACCCGTGTGCCATGTTGTTGATCCATCAAATAAACATAAGCATGTATATTTTATATTATATAGTTTTGTGTTCTTTTAAAAAATGTTTCTGGTGCTGGCGAACGGATTAATTAGATCCACATTGATTTTCAGTGGGAAATATCGTTTGGGCTGTCGAACTTTTCGGTTCGCAAAACGGAGTCATAGAACGAATTCACTTCACGACCCGAGGTACCAGTGTATCTGTATACATTTTCCCCATGGTATCGACCGTTCGATTTGCTGTTTTTGTAAATATGTAATTTAGAATTGGTCTGTACCGACCTCATTCCTGATTTTATCTTTTCTGTCTACTCCTGCTGCCCCTTTCAGGCAGCTCATTTAGTAGGCCTAAAAACAGTGTGCATTGTCAGTTGTCTATACAATTGTAAGTATATTGTTATAAAAGTTAAAATATGTAAGCGATCACCAGGAGATAAGAAATGAATCAATCTATTTTACATATATCCTTATGGAAGAAAATGCCTCTAGTTTTCTAGCAACCCACTTTCTGAAAATTTCATTAAAAATGTATTAAATTCCAAATCACAGGTTGCGCCGAATCTTTCTTTGTCTCACCGTGTCTGTCTTTCCCTGTATAACTGACCCCTGTTAATAGGTATTTTACAGTTAATAATACAGATCTGAATATATTAGATCAGATGAATGCAATTCATTTTCCTAAGCTGAGAATCTGAAAGAAATGGGGAAAGATCGAGAATCTTTTCAGTAAGTTCGAAAGAGAGGGACAATCTGCAAATGGTGATATATGGTGATGACGATGGTATGTTTAACCTAATGTTAAGTACCTCGTCTGTACTGTTCACGCAGTACATATACTAAACTGGGAACGATACAGAAAAGATTAGCATGGCCCCTGCGCAAGGATGACACGCAAATTCGCGAAGCGTTCCATATTTTTTGGGAGTAGCAGTGGCAGAGCGGCTAGACGCGCGCTTCGGATCGGAAAGTCGTGGGTTCGCTCCCTGGCGGAGCCGGACTTTTCTTCAAAAATGACCTTGGCTCGCAGGTCGACCTAGCCTTCAGTGGGTACCGGGTGCAGTCACGGGAAAGTAGAGGACGCCGGCGTGATGCTGACCACATCACTCATCTTGTGCCGTTGGTCTATGAAAATATAGGTCTAGCCCTATATGCCCTATACGCCTAAAGGCGTGGAAAATGTGTCCTTTACTTCTACTTACTTACTTAAGTCCATCGTCTACATCCTGACCCGTAAAGGGTATATTGAGCCGAGTGACAATGTCAAACGGGTTCGTATATAATTTTTTTCTTTCTTGTAAATTTAGGTGAAAATGAAAAAAGTTGGCCATGGACAAGTTGATCAAAATAATATTTTCTATTGAATCCACAGAATCTGACTTTCGACCTCATTGAAGTTCCAGTATTTATATTCATGGCTGCAATTGGTGCGTTGTATTGATATTATTGACCTTCTTCTTCTTCTTCTTCTTCTTCTTCTTCTTCTTCTTCTTCTTCTTCTTCTTCTTCTTCTTCTTCTTCTTCTTCTTCTTCTTCTTCTTCTTCTTCTTCTTCTTCTTCTTCTTCTTCTTCTTCTTCTTCTTCTTCTTCTTCTTCTTCTTCTTCTTCTTCTCTTCTTCTTCTTCTTCTTCTTCTTCTTCTTCTTCTTCTTCTTCTTCTTCTTCTTCTTCTTCTTCTTCTTCTTCTTCTTCTTCTTCTTTCTTCTTCTTCTTCTTCTTCTTCTTCTTCTCTTCTTCTTCTTCTTCTTCTTCTTCTTCTTCTTCTTCTTCTTCTTCTTCTTTCTTCTTCTTTTCTTCTTCTTCTTCTTCTTCTTCTTCTTCTTCTTCTTCTTCTTCTTCTTCTTCTTCTTCTTCTTCTTCTTCTTCTTCTTCTTCTTCTTTCTTCTTCTTCTTCTTCTTCTTCTTCTTCTTCTTCTTCTTCTTCTTCTTCTTCTTCTTCTTCTTCTTCTTCTTCTTCTTCTTTCTTCTTCTTCTTCTTCTTCTTCTTCTTCTTTCTTCTTCTTCTTCTTCTTCTTCTTCTTCTTCTTCTTCTTCTTCTTCTTCTTCTTCTTCTTCTTCTTCTTCTTCTTCTTCTTCTTCTTCTTCTTCTTCTTCTTCTTCTTCTTCTTCTTCTTCTTCTTCTTCTTCTTCTTCTTCTTCTTCTGTATCTGCAATGTTGTTTTACATATGAAGAAGTATTAGTATACACAGGTAGTTTTGCATTTGCAACTGACGTATATGAATGATTTACTGTCTCCATCTCTAAAAAAAGAAACATAGCACAGACCATACAACTGCTCACTGCGCCAGATCATTTCTAGTGCTCCAGTTGGCTCCATGCTACCAGAGGATTCACTTTGATTCTTATCACAGTTTCGAACATACAAAAGCTTCCATGCCTGGAACTCAGCCTTGGTTTTAATTTTCCTATGTTTTGCACAAGGGTTGCAATAATTAATCAGAACTGCAGTGTCAAGAACTTTTGAGTTAGGCCCATCCACGGTGTAATTGTGACCACACCATTTTTGCTCTCGAAGCCCCTTCTCTGTCATGTGCCATCACAGGATACTGTTATGGCTTCTCCTTTCTTTTCCTTGATCTCAGCTGCAAACTCTGCATACTTGTGCGTACAACAGTTTCTGTAGCATGAAGAATTTTCTTATTGTGAAGAGACCAACTGCGCTTTTTCATGTATGTTGGTATGTTCGTATTGCCAAGGAATTTTTTGCCCATGCATATAGTTCCTTCCTATAGCGAATAGAGCAAGTGTGTAACTTATGTTGACTTCTGCTAGGTTTCAGACTCTAATTTGATTTTAGAAGCAGAGTACATGGTCGGTTTATTTAAACAAAAGCACTAATGTCATCACTTCCAGCTTCTAGTCCTTGTTTCTAAGGGTACTCATTGCCTTGAAATGTACGTTTTCCTGGTTTGTCGCCTCTTTTTACCTTTCTGTTGCCCATGATCTATATAATATTAGTTATCTCATTGTCAGATGCAATTTTTCGTTATTATGAAGCCCAACCTTGGCTCTTGCCTTAGGCCATAAATATAGTCTAATGGCTGAAGGCGGTTTCCGAGACCTCTTCACAGGTGATCCTCATCCACATGGTGGCACTTTGTGCCATTGGTAAAATGTACTACTACTACTTAAATAAATTCGCTAAGTCAACTACAAGTGGAGATACAATTTTTAAAGTTTTTTGCATACGTAACGAGCTTTAAAACTTAGATAAGTTAAGTTAGACATGCTTCAGCAAATGCAGAAAAAGAGCTTTAAAACATTTCATTTTCAAACCCCGTTTGCACCGTTGTTTTCTACTATGAATAATTGTGAATTATGTACGGAAACCCAAAATGGTCAAAATTTACGATTTCATCTTGGCCCCCTTCCCTCAAGGGCCCAGGTTATACAGGGTAAATTAGGAATTTACTGCAACCGTATTTAAATCATCAACATTGCCCCGCGTGGGTTCTGGGCTCCATTGTGGGGAAAACAAGAATAGACCCACAGCATGCCCAACAAGTATATGGCAAGCGTTGACTAACTGGGGGAAAGGGGGAGTTCCTTTGAATTCGGAGTGCATCTACCTGAGAGACAAGGAACCAATAGTCTGCACCCAAAAAAGTCAGATCTATAAAACGTATGTGCACGGAACAGTCAGGTGCTGGAACAACTCTAAAGTTCAGAGGTGGATGAACAACCAGAACTTTCCGCCAGAGTTTATGAACGCCAAGAAGAAGAAGATTATCAACATGATAATGATTTCTAGGCACACACACACACACACACACACACACACACACACACACACACAACCACAGGCTCTGAAGGCACATGCCTTTTAACCCCCCCCCCCCCCCCACCCCCACCATCCCCCCCCCCAACCACCTTTTCCTGAGTAAAATTTAGGGGGAGTAGGTGGGGGTGTTTCTTTCCTCATGAAAATTTGTAACTGGGCTAAACGTTCTTCTGTAAATATTATTATTATTATTATTTTTGGCTTCTTTCAAGACTACAGTGTTATGTTGCGCTATGAGGAGGCATGGGACTCACAGCCCATGACGATGGCGAGTGTGACTACCAGGACCCGCCCGTGTCAAGAAAAGTCTTCCACAATGCTAGCATGGGATTTCCTGACCATTGTCAACATTTGTGTTTAATCCGTTTCTTCTCAAACGCTCAGCTCTCATCCATTCTGCAATCATTTCTTCCTTCAGTCTCATTCCCTTTCTGATATGCCCTTTCCCCACAACATGGTCCATGGCATTTTGTTCCCCTGAGTCCACCTCAATACCGGTATCATTTATGTCCAGCTTTTTTATGCACACATCTTTATACCGTAGTAGAGGAGTCCGTTATCTATCTATATATTTCTCGTTAAATGTATTTGTCTTATATTAATTCAAGTTATTTTTAATATACTATTTTTTTTATTAACCATCATCAACATCATGTAGCAGGTGCTTTGCAGAACGTCGCTCTCATCACAGTCTACCTAAAAGAAACTCGGTCTCTCGCCAGTTCTCCCGCCTCATGCACTTTCACACTCAAGGAGTCACTTATTTCCTGTGCCCATCTTTGTGTCGGTCGGCCCCTGTCCCTCCTTCCTGGTACCATGTCTTCTGTTATTATTTTTTTCCAATCCGTCGTGGCACTTGATATGACCAAAATATTTCAGCTTTCGAGAAAACCAATCTTCCTTGACGTTCAGATCCTTTAAGATATCAATGTTTCTCATCTTCCTTGTCCAGGATATTCTGAGAATCTTTTTACAGCAGTTTATTAACCGCTCAGCCCAAAATTATTACTAGTATCATCATCGTCATCATCATCATCATCATCATCATCATCATCATTCTCCTAAACTCGGATTACGCTCCTTGAGCACAAACCCTTTTTTGCAGAAGATTAAGGGGTAGGAGTTCCCTACGCCGCTGCACTGAACCACCCCCCCCCCACACCCCCGTACCATCGTGTTTTATTTGACATTGTTTCTGTTTGTTTCAGGAGGTCTGATTGGAGCTCTCTTTGTTGTGATGAACTATAAACTAACAGTGTTCAGACAAAAGTAGGTTGTGTGCGTGTGGTATGTGTGTGGTATATGTATGTGTGTGTAGTATGTGTGTGTGTGAGTGTTGTGTGGTATATGTATGTGTGTGTGCGCGTGTCGTGTGCGCATGCGTGTGTGTGTGCGCGCGCGCATGTGCTTTTTTGGGGAGGGAGTCTTAGATCATTGTCTTTATTCAGTGCTTTGTTTGTCTTTCATATTGATACTACTGGGCTTCTAAAAGTAGTAATGATCTGGGCGGTGGAAGAGGGGGGGGGGTGAGGGGGGGGGGGGGGTCATCTGGGCAAAAATTCGATATCACAGTATTCAGGGCAAGCTCTCGATATTAGCTCTGTCTCCCGTCTCTACTGCTAGAGAAGAATCTCTGTACTGCTGGTACCCGTTGTCATTTGAATAATGAAGGTTAGCTAGTTAGTCAGTTAAATTCCTCTGCGTGTGACGACTGACAACACCAGTACTGTGTTGGTTTACTATTCTTCTTTGGCCACCTGTATAGTGTTCATGTTTGGCGACACCTTTTTTGACTTGCAATTCTTGAAGCATTTTTTTTTTAACGTTGCCGATTCAATGTCGTCTCCTGAATCATCTTTTTGTCTTGCCACCGTGAAAGCGTTAAGAACGTCGGCCCAGTAAATTGCTTTTCTTGTATCTACCTTGGCCCTGCCAGCAAGCCATCTTATTGATGGTAAGAATGATCGTTGATTGTGTGTGCGGCGATAACTGTTCTTTAATTTGAGCCTGCAACCTTCTTGAGCAGTGCAGGCAAGAAGATGTATAGACACATGGCTAAACAGTCAAATAAAAAGTTAAGTAAAGGTCCCTTTTCCACCCCTTTCGGGCGTATTGGGCATATAGGGCTAGACCTATATTTTATAGACCAACGGCACAAGATTGGTGATGTGGTCAGCATCACGCCGGCCGCCTTTACTTCACAGGACTGCCCCTGGTACCCATTCGAGGCTGGCTTGACCTGGTGGCCAAGGTCCTTTTTGAAAAAGGTCCGGCTCCGCCAGATGTGAGCCCACCACCTTCCGATCCGCAGGCGAGCGTCTAACCACTAGACCACAGTGACTCCCCAAGCAATCACATATGTTCTTTAATTAACTATGTCTGGTTTCGGTCCTAGTCTTGTAATTTTTTTTAAATTTAATGTTTTCTTATCTTGTTACTTCAGTGGCTCTTCTACGGCATCTCATCTATGCGTTTTAATTTTGAATTCATAAATTGTCATACGAGGTAGGTAGGTAGGTAGGTAATTATACCCCACCGGGACATCACACAAGCGATAAACACCCGGTGACACAAAGTGCCACCAGGCGGATGAGGATCACTCTTGGAAAGGTCGCAGAAATCCCTTTCAGCCTTTAAGCTATATTTATGCCTAGGCTGTATTCAAAGCCCTCTGCGGAAGCCAGGGTGAGGCTTCAAAAACAAAAATTGCAATCCCACATGGGAAAGACTATTGCAGTACGAGTTTATGTGTGCCACTGGTACCGTTGAGTTGATGATCAGATAAATATATACAAAATCTGCAAGTTGTTCCTATATTCTTTCTTTCTGTTCGCGTTCACCGACTGTAAACTCCTGCGGAAAGTTCTTTTTTGTTCGTCCACTTCTGCACTTTAGTCTTGTTATAGAACTTAAGTTTTGCGTGCAAATCCGTTTTACAGATCTTGGATTATTTGCAGACTACTGGTTCCTCGCCTCTTATATGCACTCCAGACTAGAAAGAAACACTCTTAATTAGTCATCTTTCACGAAATGCTTTTCAAGTAACAGTAGGTCTATTCCCCCCCCCCCCCCTCCTTTTTTTTTCCTCTCGAGAAAAGTGCCATTGAATCCACACGGGAAGTTCCTGTATTCAAACATTACTAAAGCTTTGTAATGTATTTGGCAGATACCTGCATAGAAAGAAGTGGATCAAAGTTGTTGAGGCCGTTCTGGTGGCTGTGGTCAGTGCTATAGTTGCCTTCAGTCTCATGCTGTCTGTCCGAGATTGTACAAATGCTAAGCCTTACACGCATCATGCTATTACCACGAAGGTAAGTTGATTAGACTAATGCTGTTAACATGAAAGTAAGTTGATTAGACTAAAGTTGTTAACATGAATGTAAGTTGATTAGACTCATCTTGTTATTAGCGTGAAGGTAAATTGATTAAACTCATCTTGCTTTTACCACGAAGATTAGTCTACTAAACTCATAAATCTGTTAACAGGAAGGTAAGTTGATTAGAAACGTTCTGCTACTACAGTGAAGGTAAGTTGTTTAGACTGATTATACTACTACCATGAAGGTAAGTTGATTAGACTCGTTCTGCTACTACCATAAAAGTAAGTTGATTAGACGTTCTGGTACTACCATAAAAGTAAGTTGATTAGACTCGTTCTGCTACTACCATAAAAGTAAGTTGATTAGACTCGTTCTGCTACTACCATAAAAGTAAGTTGATTAGACTCGTTCTGCTACTACCATAAAAGTAAGTTGATTAGACTCGTTCTGCTACTACCATAAAAGTAAGTTGATTAAACTCATTCTGCTACTACCATAAAAGTAAGTTGATTAGACTCGTTCTGCTACTACCATAAAAGTAAGTTGATTAGACTCGTTCTGCTACTACCATAAAAGTAAGTTGATTAGACTCGTTCTGCTGCTATCATAAAAGTAAGTTGATTAGACTCGTTCTGCTACTACCATAAAAGTAAGTTGATTAGACGTTCTGCTACTACCATAAAAGTAAGTTGATTAGACTCGTCCTGCTACTACCATAAAGGTAAACTGATTAAGTCCTGCTATTACCACAAAAGTAGAAGTTGATCAGACTCATCCTATTATTACGGGTAAGGTAAGTTGATTAGCTGGAGGGGAAGAGAAGGAGACCGAGACAAAACATGCTAGACAGTTTGACGTCATGGCACTGAGGATCACCTGTGTCAGAATTGATAGAAAGTACACAAGACAGAAGGTTGTGGATAGACATGACTACCAACACCACATGGCTTGCACTTTAAGAAGAAGTTGGTTAGATTCAACATGATCTTATCACCAACAGACCAGTTGATTACTGGACAAATATGATACCAGACAGCGGCTCCGCAACCTGGGAGCTCAAGTCCCCTGGGGTGGGGAGGGGGGAAGTGGGGGGGGGGGTGGGGGCAGTGGCATGGCAAAGTCAGGTGGTACCCCCTACGGAAAATTGTGTCACCCTCTCCCTTTCTCAAAGCCCACCCAAGATGGGCTCCAGAATCCTCTGTCGGAATTTTTGTTTTTATTATTTCTATTAATGTTGATTCCCTTGTTGATTGCATCTGGTGAAATGATCGTAATTGTTCACAGATGGGGTGTGAAGGCGATTCTCACAACGCAATGTCTGCTCTGTTTCTGACCACACCTGAGGGATGTCTGAAAGCTTTGTTGCATGATCCTATAGGTAATCTTTTTCTTCTCTCATCATTATCCTCGTTTTGACCACTCGTTTTATCATTATCCTCATTATTACCGCTCACGTCATCATTATTCTCATTATTACCGCTCACGTCATCATTATCCCCATTATTACCGCTCACGTCATCATTATCCTCATTATTACCGCTCACGTCATCATTATCTTCATTATTACCACTCACGTCATCATTATTCTCATTACCGCTCACGTCATCATTATCCTCATTATTACCGTTCGTATCATCATTATCCTCATTATTACCACCCACGTCATCATTATCCTCATTACCGCTCACGTCATCATTATCCTCATTATTACCGCTCACGTCATCATTATCCTCATTATTACCGCCCACGTCATCATTATCCTCATTATTACCGCCCACGTTATCATTATCCTCATTATAACCGCTCGTATCATCATTATCCTCATTATTACCGCCCACGTCATCATTATCCTCATTATTACCGCCCACGTCATCATTATCCTCATTATTACCGCCCACGTCATCATTATCCTCATTATTACCTCCCACGTTATCATTATCCTCATTATAACCGCTCGTATCATCATTATCCTCATTATTACCGCCCACGTTATCATTATCCTCATTATAACCGCTCGTATCATCATTATCCTCATTATAACCGCTCGTATCATCATTATCCTCATTATAACCGCTCGTATCATCATTATCCTCATTATTACCGCCCACGTCATCATTATCCTCATTATTACCGCTCACGTCATCATTATCCTCATTATTACCGCCCACGTTATCATTATCCTCATTATTACCGCCCACGTCATCATTATTGTCATTATTACCGCTCACATCATCATTAACCTCATTACTACCACGTAGGCAACCATCAGTTCCTAGAGACAGTGGTATTGTGCGGCTGGTTTGGGAACAGCGTCTGCTGTGACAAGTCCTAGTTGCTTTAATCATCATCGGCATCTTTATAATATGTATTTAAAGATTATTACAGATTTACGTATACCATAATCAGTATCCATATGGAGAAGGGAGTACCACGATCGAAACCCACATTGCGTGGATTTATATCGTGATATGAGGCGTCGCCTGTCGACCCAACCTAAAATGGTTACCAGGATGGCTGTCCTGAAGAAGAGAGACAGCAGGCGTAATGCTGACCACATTACCCACCTAGTGCCGATCGTCTGAAAAAATATGGGCGCTCTTCCTATATACCCGATGCGCCTTTTCAGGTTTTCGAAAACAGAGTCTTGCGACGAATCTTTGGAATCATCAAAGATGCAAACAGCGGGGAATGGAGAGTGAGAAGCAACAACAAAATTCATAATCTGGCATCATGAGAGCTAATAAACTGAAATGGCTGGGACATATTGAAAGAATATCAGATGACAGAGAAGTTAAAAACTGTATACACTAGGGAGATGAATGGCCGTAGACCACGAGGCAGACAAAGAAGACGATGGAGAGATAATGTAAAGGCAGACCTGCAAACACTTGGTGTCACCAACTGGAAAGAGAAGGCCAACTAGAGATGAATTGAGGCGGGTAAAATCTGCAGCAATGAACCTCAAGGGCTGGGAAAAGGAAGAAGAAGAAGATAGAAAAACATTACTTTGAATAATATTGAAGTTAACTTTCCTCTTGTCTCTTTTACAGAAAGTTACAGCGTCATGTCCTTAGTGTTGTTCATAGTCATATTTTTCCTCCTGGGCGTGTGGACGTACGGTCTCAGTGTCTCCAGTGGCGTCTTCATTCCTTCACTGGCGATTGGAGCAGCCTGGGGGAGACTGGTTGGTCTGGGTATAGTTCAGCTGTTCCCTGACCAGGTAGGCCATTAGCATAATTGTTGAATTGTGTGT